AAATTGTTATTTTGTCTTTTGTTGAATTATTTAAAAAATACAAATATTTGAAATGTTCTACTTTTTTAGTTTTACGAATGACAAAATTATTGTTTATGAATGTAAACTGAAAAGCTTAAAAATATAGCACAAAGTTCCACTATTCAAAAATATCTTAAATTCATAGTCACTTTTTTTATAAGCGTTTAAAATTCTGACGAAGTTCGTCAAAATCAAAAAATATGTAAATTATTTTGTAATTAAAAATTTATAGTTTTTAATTTTATCCCCATATGGCATAAGCTTTATGCCTATATGTATACATTTTTATGCGTAATTGAAACTTAAATTTTGATAAACATTTTTACATGAAATAATATTACAATAATTATATTATAATATTATATCATGAGCGATTTGTTTTAGTAAAAATAAGTCCAACTAATTAATATAGCATTACCTACTATAAAAAAAATAAATTATTAATAGCAATACATAACTATAATTTATAATAACATTTCCTTAGAAATACAAATACTGGCGGCTGACAAGCCGTCTCGTTCAGAATCGTTTTTTTCTAAGTATAGGTACCAATAGGCAATAATGATTTATCGTTGAAATTGAATTCAACACATCCATTGCAGTGACCTATTCAATGACGAGCCCAACACATACTGTATTGCAGAGTGACTTCTCCGGTGTTTGGATAATTTTGTCCGGCAAACATAGTATACATATGTTATTCAATTTTAGGGTCAAGATTTGAAGGCGAAATGCATTATTTTTAGTAAGTCCCATCCAACGCTTTTCAAGTATAAAATCCGTTACATGTATCAATTTAAATAACCGAAATAATGTGGTCGATATTGTAGTATAATTTAGAAGCATAAATGTACCGAATACCGAGAAGGTAGGTACTAGGTAGTTAATAATTGAATGCATTGACGTCAAAGTTCCATAAGCATTTTAACTTTGTCGGGAATTGCAGTGCATAATATTTTATTATTTATGTATAGTGGATACAGTGATATATATAGAGACTATACATTGACTTTTACAACATACTTCCACTACTTAATATTATTTGTCGTCGTGATGAATAATTTAAAATATAAGTAAAAATAAATCTGTTTCGTTGTGATAAMTGTTTAAATACTTTTAAAAACAACACTACGGTCTACAGACATCCATATTATATTGTACACTCAGCTATACCTATGTATATTGATAGGTGATCAAAATAGTCATAGAATAAACTATTTGCTAGTCTAAACTTTTGTATTTTTAATTTACATCCGACAATTTGTTTAAAATTTTTTAATTTGTATTGCTCTAAAATTCGTTTAAAGGCTTAATGTAATAATAGAATATATTTTTTGTGATACATCTTTATATGTATATTTAAAACAATGTTTAGCACAACATTTATACGTTATGTTGCTATAAAATAATTATTTGCAAATGATTGTGGCGAATTGTTTAATGAATTGTTAWTMAATTTTTAATAAATTGTTTGATGAAAATTGGGTTAAAAAAATTGAGTTAAATAAAACATTGGCTTCATTTGGGAGATAGGTACGAAAGTGCATGTCGGGTCTTTWAAAAAAATATATTATTACGTTTTAATATTATACTAATAAATACAATTATTATTATTGGATTTTGCCCCTCTTCTGCGGACACACCTCAATGTATGACACTCGCCACCGTGTCGATCCTCAGTTATACCCGTGGACCGTGAGGAGGGAGAGTGAGTTTGTTCGGTTACAGCGGAAATCCCCCGAGTAAATATTCAAATACAAAATTAATGGATTGCAGTTTCACGAGAAAAGCGATTGGTTTTGATTTAGCTTGCCACATGCCGCCATTGCCACCTCCGCRGTATGAGTATAAAATAACATGCACGAATTGACGTCACTGCAGCAAGACCTTTCATTATAGTATTGAGTCTGTGTTCAACGTATATTACAAATGACAATATTATCATATTGATGAAAAATTGCAATAAATTAAACATTGGAATTATAATTAGATACTATAAATCAAAGCGTGATACATAAARTGTATTTAGTTATTACACATATGGGGCTAGACTGTATCATACAATGCATAGTCTATAAAAATAATGTCTACGTGAAAAAGTATAATATTGTAAAATGCGATAATGGCCAATACAGTATAATAATAATAATAATAGCAATTATAAAACGGTAAACAACAACAGCACATTAATTAATTATATATATCTATATAGTCTATATTTAGTGTTATTTATTTATTTATTTACGGAGAAAAAAAACTCCATTTACAAAAAGTATGTACAAATATAACAGTTACAATATAATTTCATAGACAAAAGAAAGCTTTTACAGTGTGTGATGGGAATCAATTTGTATATAATGAAAAGTAAAATTAATAATAATAAAATAATAACAATAATCTCGTAGTTCAACGATTGGTAATATTATGAAAATTTAAATTAAACCATATATCTGTTTGATATCATTACTACTACAATGAAATAGATCTWAATTGGCAAAATTACCTAATAACATTATCATATTTGCTGGTAAATTTAGGGAATAATTTTTTTTTGTGTTTCGTAAGAAAAATAAATTATTATTTCTCGCGTTTTTTGGGTTGGTATTAAAATTTAAATTCTCTAATAAAGATCTGCAATCAATTTCATAATTAAGTAGTTTGAATAAAAAATTTAAATTCAAATAATTTCTACRGTTTTTTAGGGGAGTCATATCAAAAAAACCTAAAACTCCATYATAACCAGTGTGAGGTTGTCTTTCTATTCTACATTTGAAAGAAAGGAATCGTAAGAAAGAGTTTTGAATAGATTCGAGATTTTGAGTAAGTTGTATAGAATTTGGAGACCAGATGAGGGGAGCATATTCTAATTGGGATCGAACAAAAGATAAATAAATATTTTTTAAAGCAAGTGGATTATTAAATTTTGAGCAGCAGCGTTTAAGGAAACCTAGTTTTGAAGATGCTTTGTTTTTTATTTTGTGAATATGGTCGTTAAATTTTAATTTGGTATCAAAGAAGATACCTAAATCATTGACTAATGAAACACGTAGTGTGGGGCAATTATTTAAATTATAGTTAAAGAATGAATTGACTTTTTTATGTGAAAAGGTAATTACAGAACATTTATTTATAATTAATAAATCTGAAGAGTTTTCATAATAATTATTAATTATGTTTGAACGCGTTAATATCTGTATAATTGCCAGTTCGATTTAAAAAAATATTTACAATAATATATACTTATTGAGAGGTCGAGGTTTTTATTAGCTTTTTTTATTAAGTTTCTAAATTGGGTGGCTCACACGTAACACATAAATTTTGTTTCGGATCACAAAACTCGAATATTTATTTTATTAATATATCGAATAGGGTCGCCATCCCATGTTAATAGAAACAAAAATTAAAAAATAAATAAAATAAAGTCTAGCCGAATCTCATGCGTCAATATGGGATTTTTCTATTCAAGAATACTTCAAACAAATCGTGGGTTTACCTACCGAATGTTATCCTCGACATTTTACTAAACAAACAGTAAATAATGGTCAATAATCAATAAAATATTTTTCACGTGTACATAAACGCATTGGTCTGGTTGTAACCCTGCAGTGAAACTTGTCTTAACGGACAAAATATAATAAGGTCCCARAAAAAAAAAATTGACATGATCAGAAACATTTCTATAATATGTACACCTGTCTATAATGAACACTTATTTAAACGACCCATAAGAGTATAAGTAGGTTTCGCTGTAGTTTAATAGCTACACMAAAAAAAAAAGGTTTTACAAAAATTATAGGTTGATTCCTATTTTATCCGTGAAAAAATCCTCATTAAATACTTAAGACAGATCATTTGCAAATTGTAAAAACCCGTTTGACATAGATAATTTTACTTACCGTTGATAAGTAAGCAAAAATTAATTTTTTAAACATTATCATTTTGTTGTTATTATATAAGTACCTATACGAATTTGAAGTATTTTGAAACGGACATATTTTTATATTCAGTTAACTCGTCGTAGAAAACGATGCCGATGCGTAATATAGGTCTGAATGTGTTTGATATGAATGTCTTCATGTAGGTACAAACTTAATAGATTATCATTATTATGAGTTGTGTGAGCCAATTTATATTATTCATCCAATTTTTCTTTCATAAAATATTTTGTTTAATCTCTCCCCTTGGTATTATGGTATACAAATTTGGGGTACCCCTGGTATGTTACTAACAAAAACAAAACCCTACACTCAGACCTGAAAATAAACTACGTATAAATCTAACCTAATTACTACAACCACCGGAGTTAAAAATGATATTATTTTAAATGTTAGACAGTAGACATCATGATATAATTATTGTTACCTCACGTGAAAAAAGTCAAAAACACTTAATGTCAATTAATACCTAATTGAATGTCTTAATAATATTGTGGTTATAAGTTATTAATTTAATTCAATAATTACTCGTAATTACTATGAAGTATGCACTACATTCACACTAATTTACATACTTAATTGTATTGTTATCAAATATCAGTTTATCATTTGTTCATTTTTTGTGACGTAAAGATTTTTATTTTATTTTTAAAAAATTTATTTTGAACGTACACTTTAAAAAAATATTTTGCAAAAACAAGCGGGCCCCAAGAATCCATTGCATCTTGAACCCTCCCCCTCCTTCCACAATTACACCGGCCTGATATTAATAAATGTCCCAACCTTGATTATAATAATAGGAAAACGTCCAATCGATTTATCTCCATGTGTCTGCATTATAATTAATACTACCTATAACATATTTTCGTACAAAAGTTCTC